CCACCACCACCCCCGGTCTTCGAAAACGTGGGGTGTGTTGACCATGTGCAGAATCACCTTTCACTTTGAACTAATAGTTCTGGACTTCCTCCCAGTCGTCACATCACCCTAATGATGGGTCTCGAAAGCAGCATCAACTCATAAAAACATGGTTTAGTCAAACACACACACACACGGGTCTGAAAAGACTGAAACCCCCCTAGAATGTGGCCACACTTTTAATTATGTTTATTAGTAGTGGATAAGACCCGTTCGTCCTTTTATTAGTCTGTCTTTGGACTTCAGATGTCCCGGAGTCTTTCCTTTTAAAGCTTAAGCTTTGTTTGTTGAGATCATACGGTACTTGTCGTGGGTATCACATAATATAGATTAGCAACATTTTAATGCTTTTCAACCCAGAGATGGGAAAAGTTACAGCTTCAGCCCCAGTGACCATGCTGGCTGGAGTATTTTGGGAGTTGTAGTTCTAAAAAGTGATGTTTCCCCGTCTCCATGCATACTTCCATACAGTATTTATATTTCAAGGAGGCCAGTGAGGAGTAAAGCAAAAGTCAGTGTGGTCTACTCTAGTGCATGGGTGTTGAACTGTGTAAACTAACTGTGGGATGGGAGTGGTCAAGGGCTCCATGAGCACTTCATATCCCTCAAAAATTATTTTAGGGTTACCATAAACTAGAAGCAATGATGACACAGAACATAACCAGGGATGAAAAGGTGGATTCCTTCTTGCTTTCTCCTTGTATGTCACTTGGACCGCTAGACTGTACATGCTTACCTTGTAGGAAGTGCCATTGAACTCAAGTTCATAGGATTGATTCCCTTGTTAACAAATTTTAAGTAGACTTTAATAATTTGTAGATAAGGTTTACTTCCCCAATAATAATTTCAAAATCAGTGAGTTAAGATCCTTGTTTATTTCATAGTCTCTTAAGAAATAAAAGGCATATTTCCCCAGTGAAACCTATTTCAAACTGATAGTATCTGACACACCTGAAGTTAACATTAGTTTTAATTTTGGGAATCAGACTCTCAAGATACACAGCGATTTTTTAAAAATCACAACTAGTAACTGCGTATTTGTCTCTGTCTGAGGCATGACGTGAATTTATTTAGCATTAATTTTACTTGTAAGATACAGATAGTTAAGATGGCTGTAGTGTAGAGTGTTAGAAGTTCCAAACCCTTGGGAGAAAACATCCATATGAATAGTTCTAAAGGGAAGTGAATATTTTTAAATTCTTTTTGAAGACTGTTAATAGAAAAAAGAAGAAATGTTATCTTCCTTTGCAAACCAGGGGCTAAATTAACGGTTAATCCCAAGCAGAGTAGACCCATTTGATGAATGGAGTTTGTCAAATCAGCACTTACACAAGTATATTCTAGTTGGTACTGCTAATTGGATTTAGCCATATACAGTTCATCATGACTTGAATCTTTGAGAGCAAAACTACATTTCAGAAGCATGAAGTAAAGTAAGATTAACTTCAATCCTCTGCTTACATTGCTTGTACCTAGTTAATTGTAGTAGAATTTCAACAGTTTATCACTGTATTGTTTAGGCAAATATACAAAGTTTGCAAACATCACCCTGTGAGCTACTGCATTGTCTGTCAGTTGAATATCTAATTGAATCTTGAAGATTGGCACCTTTAAACTCCACTCTAAGGTACTGAATATTTTCCAAGAGGCTGAATGGTTGAGCTAAGTTCTGACCTGTTTTTGCTATATCCTCTTGCAACAATGGGAATTAAATCTGTCAATATGCAAATAAAATCTGAATATGAATGATTCTGCAACAAATGTTATATCTCTACATTCTGTGTTTTTTATAGGACGTGATTAGTCAGGTTTTGCCTGATGCGACGACAACTGCTTTTGAGTGTGAGTATAGCTTGTGTTTGGACGGGACGGATTCTGTACTCATGTTATTTATTTTAAAAATGACAGCTATACACTGTTTATATTCAGAAATGTCAATACTTAAATATTTGTGTATGGATGCATGTTTAATGACAGTCCCAAGCTAAGTAATATTTTATTATTTAATCACATCTTGAGAGCACATATTTCTACAATATAGCTTTAATTACCAGTATGACCTTACAGTGCTCTTCATACACATAGCAATTATATTGCTCAAATTAAATGAAAAGTATAAAGCACCTGGAGGCTTTGTAGGCAGAAATGTTAATTTTCAGACTTCTTTTATTATTAGTAGCTTGCTTTCAGCAGAATCAGATATAGAAGATACAGATAAAGAATATTAAATTGGATTGTGGAGTATCTTCTGTAGATTCATGTGAGCAGTACCCTTGTTGTGGACAGCTCAAGACTCCAAAAGCTTAATTAATGTAAGGTCCTGGCATCAAGACCTGGATGGATGAACCACTGGTACTGGCGTAGCATAATGGTTAGGAGCATGTTCTGTGGACTGGATATCTTAGATCAAAACTTGTTGACAGTGGACTCAGTCAGTAGTCTTAAGCAAGTCTCACTCTCACCTCCCACCCGACCCTTAGGCTGATAATAATAGGTGGAATAAGATTGTTGTGCGGCAGTTAGTAAGGTAATAATGTAAGTGTTGCAGACATTTAGGGAAAGCACACATTGGGCACTATACTCTTCCTGGAAAAAAGGTCTCGATGCATGGTCAGGACTTCAGCTTTGGTCAAGCCAGTGTAATTAGTTTTGTGAATAGATCTTTTTTTTTTCACCATGCCTATTGTTTCATTTTTCCTGTTGTGTAGTTCAGCCTCCACAAAACTCTATGTACCAATAGTAGGCCATGCCGTCAGAGCAGTAACCCGTTAGCAGCAGCAGCAGCAGAATTTGCCTGAAAATTATAGATTTCCTTGCTACCCTTTAGCATCTGCTTTCCAGATGTTGTCTTTAGCCTGTCATTTTACATTGGCATGACACCATTTCCCCTACCATTTAAGTGGCATCAAAAATATGTTAATGTGTATCAGTACTTGTTGGTTTCTGGGTTGCATTCTCCATGCTGAAAGTCTGAAATTTACTAGTTTAAACGTCTTCTCAGTTACTTGATAGCTTTCTCAGAGGCAGATAATTGCTATCCACAGCAGCTTCCTCTCCTGTTTGCTTAGTTATTGCTTTCTCCGGTGTGTCTTCTGTAGTTGCCTCTACCTGGGGCTGTATTCTCTCTTGCTTCTGGACCTCGATAGGCCTTTTGCTGTTGTATGCCATGTTGCTACAAATAAAACTACCAACAGCATATGGCTTGTTATGGTCCTTTTATCCCTAACTGTTTTGCGCATGCATGACACACTGCATCTTTTGCAGAGATTGCTCTGGAATATTTGGCTGCCATCTGCTTCACTCTATTTTGTGTCTTGTGAGGATGTGACATTAGTAAAATCTAGGCTCTATTTTAGTTCTACTTTTGCTTCCCTAATGGACTGGAAGATCATGTTGTTTGTGCTCTAGGCAAGTGCAGGCTTGGTAAACCCATTCTGAACCTCTGTATTATGCAGATCTATTTTGAGGATGGGGATTAGTTTTTTCAGTGAGGTGGTAAAAATCTCCCTGTTTAATTTTAGAAATATAGTATCAAGTTGTCTCTGTCTCAACAAATTACAAATCAGGCTTATTCATTCTTCACTGACATATTTTTCTAAATGCCTGTTGTCTGTCCAGCTTGTATGCAAATGTTTGTTCTATAAGAAAAAAAACTTCACTAGACCATCTCAGAATTCTAAAATTTGTGTTGCAAAGCTAATAAGCAGTTAATAAGATGCATTTGTAAGTTTATGAAATTATGGACCTTCTGCACAAAATATTTCTTCAAGATACCTCTTTTAAAAGGTTTTTCCCCTTTCTTAAACTGTTTTTAAATAGCCCTTTCATTTAGAATCAGATTGTGTTTAGAAGTTTCATAACAGCCAGTTACTATTACAAGAACATCTGTTGAAGATGGAAAAATTGTATTTGTTTTCTAGTAAATGTGCCCGTGAATACCACCATCATCCCAGTGCCCTTGGTTGTTCGCCCCATGCCCCAAATTATTCCTTTTACACTGGTCTCTCTCCATCTCTTGTTCTGCTGTGGTACTTATTCAGCTTGTACCCCAGTTAGAAACCTATTATCCCCATCCCAGTGTTCTCTCTCTCTTTTCTTCTCCTGCTCAACAGAATATTTCTTTTCATATTCTTATTTCTCCTTTCATTTCAGTACTCAGCTCAGGAAAAACTTTTGCAGACAGTGACTCTCAGAATCTTCCAGCTAGTCTGGCCAGTTGTAACCTATTGACCTAATTAAAGCTGTATCCATGAAAAACTGAGGTTCTAACTCTGAACATTTTGGTAAGAATATTGCCATAGATAACTTCTTTGGTTTACAAACCTCAGAATCCCTCAGTAAGCAAGGCCAGACAACTTTATAGTTATTTAAGTTAGGAAATTGGTAGCACACATACCATATGTTGTGATTTTGGCTCTTACCATTTTGGAGACCTGGCAATTTAAGTGGGACTCCCCCAGCCAAAATGGTCAACTAAGAAGTAATGCATCCATTTATTTAAAGATGAGCTCATCTGTGCCAAATTCTGTGGTTTTAATTCTTTGCATTTTGGTAAGATCTGAACATTTAGGTGAGAGTACTACAGCTCCTGACATCTTTCTCCCTGCGTGACGCCTCAAGATATAACCTAATCATTTATTTCAACACAAGCTTTCTGCTGTATTTGTAAAATGAAATGAATAATGTGTTCTTGCCTTCTATTGGGAATCAATGTTACAGAACAATAGATAAATAATAATCATATGCCATCAAGTCAGTTCTGACTTATGGCAACCCTTTTCAGGGTTTTCAAGGTAGAGAATACTCAGAAGTGTTCCTGACTGCAGCTTTTTTAAGGCCACACAGGCTGGCTCTACTCATAGGAGGCACTGTGGAGAATCCAACTCCCAGCTTTTGGCTCTGGGGCCAGATGAGACTTAATTCATCATTTAGCAGCTAAGATCTTACTGGCATAGCTACACTTGCAAAAGTTTGATTATGTCATCAGCAAGGATAGTTATTGGAAATTAAACACTTCCTACTTCTGTGGCTCCTGCAGCTTTCATGTAATCATAGAATCATAGAAATCATAGAAAAGTGAAGTTAGAAGGAGCCTATAAGGCCATCAAGTCCAACCCCCTGCTCAATGCAGGAATACAGTCAAAGCATATCTGCCAGGAGATTATACAAGTTTTTCTTGAATGCCTCCAGTGTTGGCGCACTCACCAACTCCCGAGGTAACTGGTTGCACTGTTGTACTGCTCTAATAGTCAGGAGGTTTTTCCTGATATTCAACTGAAATCTGGCTTCCTTTAACTTGAACCCATTGTTGCGTGACCTGCACTCTGGGATGATCGAGAACAGCTCTTGCCCTTCCTCTCTATGACAATCTTTCAAATATTTGAAAAGTGCTATCATATCACCCCTGAGTCTTCTTTTCTCAAGACTAAACATGCCCAATTCTTTCAGCCTTTCCTCATAAGGCTTGGTTTCCAGCCCCCGATCAACATTGTCGCCCTCCTCTGAATTTGCCAACAAATTGGAACATCCTTCTTGAAGTGTGGTGTCCAGAACTGGACACAATACTCAAGGTGAGACCTAACCAGTGCTGAATAGAGGGGGACTAGCACCTTGTGGAATTTGGAAACTACTTTTGTTAATGCAGGCTAAAATAGCAACATCACACTGTTGGCTCATACAGTATTTAGCTTGTGATCTATGACAATTCCAAGATTCTTCTCACTCGTAGTTTTGCTAAGGCAGGTATCCCCCCCCATCTTGTAACTGTGCCATTGGTTTCTTTTTCTGAGGTGCAGGACTTTGCACTTATCCCTGTTGAATTTCATTCTGTTGTTATTGGCCATTGCTCCATCCTATTAAGGTCATTTTGAAGTTTGTTTCTGTCTTCTAGGGTATTAGCTGTTCCACCCAATTTGTTATAATCTGCAAGTTTGACAAGCAATCCCTGCACTCCCTCATCCAGGTCATTAGTAAAAATACTGAAGAGCACCGGACCCAGGACTGAGCCTTGGGATACCTCACTAGTTACCTCCTCCCAGTAAGAGAAGGACCCATTAATCATCACCCTCTGAGTATGATTCTGTAGCCAATTGTGTATCCACCTGACACTTCCATACATTGTGGGGAAGCCATGGAGCCACAGAAAAGGAAGAGGAAATCTTTAAAAATAGCCACTGCCAGAATGACATTACCAGTGACTGCAATTTTCAATACTTAAAGACCTCCTCCATGTGTCCCACAACTTCCACATACTGTAGTGAAAGGGATGGCTTGGGAGCTGTGGAAGATGCAGGACCAAAGTAAGAAGTGTTTAATTTCTGGAATCACTCCCTGCTGATGATACCATGAGCCTTCTATAGGCATAGTTATGTCAACAAAATTTCAGTCAGTTTCTCGCTAGGATATCCTCCACCCAGAGCATTGTTGCCATTCTTGTACCCAATCTCTTCACGTAAGATTTATGGAATTATGTTAAGTAAAGAAACAAGTGCTTAATCCTAGATTTGATGGTGGATGAGATGCAAGTCATCACATCACTGTGATCTGGTAAGAAGTACAACTGTTTTCATGTGCAGCTTTCCCTAATATGTTATTTTTTGTGGTGCAGTTTCGTAGCTTAGCACAGCACTGCAAAACGTTAAGGTATGTGCAGACTTAAAGATGGCAACAACTTCCAGAATTCTTCAGCGTTGACTAGCAGTATTGGTCCAACAAAATCTGCAGGTCCACACTTTGTTGCTTGCCCTCCAAATCTGTCCATGTCTCAATGCCCGTTGCAAACATGAGAACAAAATTATGTAGCCATGTAAATCCAACAGAATAAACTGGTGCAATTCAGTCATCATTTTATAATTACTTGGGGTATTTGCAGAAGTGATAGTATATTGGACGCAATATTACATTCCATTGAGAGTATCTGGAAATGTCGTTAAGACACATATGACTTTGAATATTCTGATTTTTTATCTTCTCTCTCTCTCTCTCATGCCATCCCATCCAATGACCTAGTAGTTTGATATTTATTATTTACGCTATCTTATTCTGTTGATGTTTTAAATGTCTGTTTTGTCTTGTATGTTGTTCTTTAATTTATTTTACATGTTATTGTTCATATAAAAACAGTACATAAACAATAGCACATAAAATAAATTTCTGCCAAAAAAAGATGCAAACAGGCACTTTCTAATTTTTGCAGATGAAGATGAGGATGGTGATCGAATTACAGTCCGAAGTGATGAAGAAATGAAAGCTATGTTGTCTTATGTAGGTATTATTTCTTATAATAATTTGAGTGAGAGGTCAGCCATAACACATCTTTAACATTTCCTCTTCAAGCTTCTCCTGCAGTAGAAACTTTGGATTGAGTGGGACATACGTATGATCAACTTCATTTCATTGTGGCTTGTGCAGAAACTGGTGACCTGTGATCAGTCTTACAAATTAGTTGTTTCCTACTTTTTTTGCTAGTGACACATTGTTCAAAAATAAACATCAGAAACAGCCATACTGTTTTGGTATAATATTGGTGTGGAGATCTTGCATTAAAGTTTGAAGTGTTCTTTCTTTTTTGAAGAATAATGCGAATACACTTACAGATCATATCATGGACATTAAGAGCAATACATCCTAATGATTTTTGCGTTAGATATAGTGCAAGCTAAATGGACTATCAATTTCTTGTATTTTTTATGCAGTACTTAAAGTAACGGCTCATTAAAAATGAACCCCTCGGCTCTAAAAAGTGTTTTTTAAAAAACAAAAATCTGCTTTTATCTGGAGACTTTTTCACCCTTTCTCTCAGAAGAGTTATATTTTAGCTGCAGGCTCAGCATGTGGAGGAGCTTTTAAAGATGCATTGTCTTTTAATAACTGTAAAAATATGAAAACAAGGTTGCTTATTGAATTGAATGACTTGTGTATATCTTTATAAATGATTTGTCATTTGTGCTTCATAAATGAGCTTGAATTTAGCCATTAGCATTTATTTTAAATTAAAATAGAATAATATGATATTATTCAGTGGTCCTCAGCATCTTTTCTCTTAAAGCAAAGTAGTGATTGACAGTTCTTCAAAGGAGGCTGAGTATTACATTGTGCTCTTTTGGCCAAACCCAGGAATTCCTTATGCATAACGAGTTTCCAATGTAGGGCTAAGCTTCAGTGCCTGCAGCAGATTTCTGATCAGCTCACTGTACTGCCAATGTTACGTATGCAGGAACTTCAGTTTTGTTGTATAAAAAACAGTCCATGGAATTGTGTGAACCCCGGAGAATTTTGGATTAATATTCCTCTATGGCACACAATTATTATTATTATTATACGTATCAACACAAATGTGCTCACACTGCATATTAAATTGTTGCTGAAACAGAGGGGGGGATAGCCGAAAGTTGTTTTTTGGATGTTAAATCCCTCTGGGCTTGTGTAGGCTTAGGATGCAGCTTTCTGAAGGAACTAAAGAACTAACATTGGTTTCTATGCAGCCTTGATGCATTTCAAAGGGTTTGTTTGTGATCTAAAGAGCCCTCTCTTCAGGCCAAAATGGGGCCTCTGTAGCAACTGCTAATGTGCCATGTATTATATTATGCATGTTACCAAGGTATATGTGTGTGTCATTTCCTACTAGCTCCCAACACTATTGGAAGGAGTATGCACGGCAGATACATTGAAGTTTATTCATTGCCTTCACCTAGTGTTAATATGAAAAAAACTTAATAGACTCCCCCCTCCACCACCACCCCGGTTCTTGCAGTGTCGGTGGACCATTGTTAGCTTCACAGCTGACCAGGGTGACATGCTTGTTTGCTGACAGCCCCCAGGCCTTTGACTAACAAAGTTTTGCTCTCCAATGTTCATATCCCATGGTGCTATGATTCTTTTTGTTGTTTAGTCGTTAAGTCATGTCCGACTCTTCGTGACCTCATGGGCCAGAGCACGCCAGGCCCTCCTGTCTTCCCCTGCCTCCTTGAGTTTGGTCAAATTCATGCTGGTAGCTTCGCTGACACTGTCCATCCATCTCGTCCTCTGTCGTCCCCCTTCTCCTCTTGCCTTCACACTTTCCCAACATCAGGGTCTTTTCCAGGGAGTCTTCTCTTCTCATGAGATGGCCAAAGTATTGGAGCCTCAGCTTCAGGATCTGTCCTTCCAGTGAGCACTCGGGGTTGATTTTCTTCCAAATGGATAGGTTTGTTCTCTTTGCAGTCCAGGGGACTCTCAAGAGTCTCCTCCAGCACCACAATTCAAAAGCATCAATTCTTTGGCGGTCACCCTTCTTTATGGTCCAGCTCTTACTTCCATATATCATTGCTGGAAAAACCATAGCTTTGACTGTGCAGACCTTTAAAAAACAAGTGTAATTTCTCCTCCTTTCACCTGGAGACAAATGTATCTCCTTTTAATCCAACCCTTGTTCCCAATTGTTCTGCCCCAGAAGATACACTACTGGACGTCTGTGCTGTCTTGCTGAGTAACAGGCAGGGGCACCTAGCTGCAATCAACTGTTACAGATCCTAAAAATGCCAGCTCTTTGAATCCAAAACTTCTGTTCAGGAAACAAATTTCCTCATAATTGTCATATCCTTAACACTTGGGAAGATGAGAATAGTATCTAGTGTATATATTTTTATTTGATGTTTATAGATAAACTGTGTTTAACATAAAACTTCATAGAATTCATATATTAAGGGTACACAATATATTCTGCTCTTGGGAGCAAATGCATTCTATAAGTCAAATTAAAAAAAGGCTCGCCACAAACAAAAACTTATAACTACAAATGTGGACCTCAGATCAGCACCAAATTTGGCACAGATGTAGCCAAAAGTCTGCTCTTCCTCTGCACCAGATTTGGGGATGTTTGGGCAAAGAGCTTTTGAGTTGTGGTTTTTTAAAAAGTGAAATTGGGTGTGGGTGGATCACCACACACTGGGCCCTTAAGATCCTGGAAGATCTTGAGTAGCAGATGGAGTTGAGTGTCTTCAGCACACTGGTGGTAGCAGACCACAACATTCTGGACCGCCTCTTTCACGTTTTTCATGTATATATGAAATAGAACGGGGAATCATGGAACCCTGGGACAGTCCACAGGCTAATAGTCATGATGTCGAGCAGGAGTTCCCCAGCCCCACTACCATTCACCAAGTGACATAACACAAGGGAATATCCTAGAAGCTGACTCCTTTTTTCATTAGTTCACCATTTCTCCCCCAAACACCAAAGCGACTGTCAGGGCTGTTTGTCAGCAGAAGTTGGTATCCTGTAGACCAGTGGTCCTCAACCTCGGGCCTCCAGATGTTCTTCGACTTCAGCTCCCAGAAATCCTACCCAGCAGAGGTGGTGGTGAAGGCTTCCGGGAGGTGTCGTCCAAGAACATCTGGAGGTCCAAGGTTGGGGACCACTTTGCTATGCAAAGCTTGGCATCCCTTTTTCTGCTGGCAACGTGGGCATGATACTGTGCAGCAATATTGGGCCATTTCCTGGATTTTTGAATCGTGGGTACAGAAGCACAATATCCCACTTTCATAAACCAGAGGGGTTTTGAAGAATTAACTATGTATGTCTCTTAGAGTTTGTCTTCTGAAAATGGGATTCAACATCTTTAATACTGATGCATTATCTGAGTGTCTCTTCCTGAGAACAACCTCCAATCCCACCCGCGCATCTCAATCTGGGATGTTCTGGGTGACCACCACAAAGGTGTCCCAGAAATCAACACAATGAGGCATCTCCCGTCCCTGTGGGGGCTGCCTCATTGTGGAACTCTCTCCCAGTTGAGGTGTGACTGGTTCCTTCCCTACTCAGCTTCAGAAAGCACCGAAGACATGGATGTTTACACAGGCCTTTCATGGCCTTAGCCCAGATTAATTTTTTGTTTGTTCATTTTTGCTTTTGTTATTATTATCTCTTTCACTGCCATTATTTGTTATTTATAGTTAGTATGGCATTGGGTTTCCCTCATTGTTGTTTTAAGTTAATGTTTATTGATGAATTTTACCATTGAATTTTATTTATGTTTATAGTGTGATATTGCAACCTGCCTAGCATAGTGGCCTAGCCACTAGATGGGCAGCATAAACATTTAAATAAACAAAATAAAACCCCTTAGCACTTTTTAAATTATTTATTCAAATCATTTGTTTATCACTTTTCTGCTGAAAGTGATGCAAAGAAATTAAAACTATCACAACAATACAAATCTTTATAACAGTGTCATCACGTTTTGTCCCTCAGATGTGGTTGGGTTAGAGTTCCCACCACCCATCTTCCGGACCATGTAGGTAGGGCTGAGAATTGGACTCCCAACCACATTGGCAGGATTAGTGTTTCCTGCTGTCCTCTAGAAAAGTGAGATTGAGGGTTACTTTTTAATTGAAAAAATAAATGTATAACAAAGGTCTGCTTTGTAAACAGGTTCAGTGTTTGGAAAAATATTTTGCTTTCATTTGAACTTTGTGTCTTTTGCTTTTATTTCCAAGCTGTTTGAGAGAAATGCAATGAATTGATGTAAAATGCAGAGATTTTTAAACAAAAGTTACATATTTCAGAAGCTTTATAGCAAGGTACTAAAAGGAATTTCTTATAGTGCTGTTGGTTAATTTAAAAAGAGCCATTAAGTAACAGTGGAGCTGTCCTGCCACTGTTGTCTTCTATTCGTATAAACAGGCAGTAATTTTTTTGACAGTCACTGATTGGAAAGTTGCTTGCAGCCATCTAGAAGCAAAGGGTACATGTTTTGGATCAATAACTGGCAAATTTTCCATTAAAAAGAATACCTGAACAGTGTTCCAAATAGCCACTGGCATCTTAACTTTCCATGGCAACCTCAAGTGCTCACATGTGGAGGACAAATCATTTTTGGACAATTTTTCCAGACTACTTGTTAACAGTTATTGCTGTCCCATAAGGTTGACAGCTGACATGATTGATATTTCATTTACTTGTCATCTCCATTTGAGTAATGGAGAAGGCCACATTACTTCTTTATTTTTAAAGAAATATAGGGGAAAATCTACCAGGAAACTCTCTGATGTGAGCTCCAGTGAAATGAAAGGATGCTTTGGAAGAATATGGTTCTGAAACTGGTGTTGGACCTTGAGGACCCAGTTTTTGTTTTCTCCACTTCTCCTCTCCTAGAATGTCACCATGTCTTTCCCTTGGGTTCCCCATCTTGGGTCACCAGTTTTTGTTTGACTATAAGCATTCGGCCTCAAGTGAGCATTTCCCATGTACCCCCTGGCAGCTGTGATACTCTCTAAATAGGACTGGACCAAGGTCCATCTTTCCACTTACAATTGCTTGGGGACAGATAGACTATGTTGCCACACTCAATAATATGAGCAAAGAGGAGTGGAGCTTCCTTCACCTGCCTATTTCCTTCATTGTGACACCATCATTCATCTCTGTCTCTACTCATAACCAAGGATCCAAATCTGGGAATGACAGAAGCAGCAGTCACGTTTACAGTGAACAGGAGATGTGGTGGCTCCTATATCAGAGGAGCCTGGTCTAACATCAATGACACCAGAGGCTTCTGGAGGCCACAGAGTGGTTCTGTGATACCATAACCCCTTTCATTTCAAGGGCGCTGTTCAAAATGGACAGCAGGGTGATCAGGGACAGTATCACAAGCAGTACTTTTTAGCACTGACAAAGCAAGACCAGAGATCGAATGTTACATTTCAAAAGAAGAAACACATTTCGTTTTTCCTCACTACTTGGCAACCAGATTAGCTGTTATTGGTCATGCAATTGCATGATTAATTTGTTTTGTTTTGTATTATTAGCGCATTGTGAATTTCGTTGTATGGTATACTGTGTATATACTTACAATGACAATAAATTATATATTATTATATTATTATCATGGGTCAGCAAAAGGAAAATACTTACTAGATCCACCTAATGGCCAAGTCTGATATGGTACCTTGGAAATATGTATTACCTACGAAAGACAAAATGAAACAATAGTTCGCTTGCTATTTAGTATTGATAAGAGAATGTCATAAAATCTGTAAGATTCCGGTCAAAACATTTCTAAAATGCCCTTAAAAAGTAACTTCTGAAACTCATCAGGCATTACTTGTTACTAATTTAAATCTTTGACCATTTTGTTGTTGTGAATGACCTTGTATGAACCTTAGTTTTAGGTGTTGCTTTTACACATAAAAAATAATGTATAACTAATAGTTGTATTATTCCTTATAAAAATTAACTAGTTATAGGTAGATATTTTACTTGTAACTACAGTGGTGCCTTGACTTATGAATGCCCTGACCTATGAACGTTTTGAGTTATGAACAGCTCCGGCCACTAAATATTGCTTTGAGTTACGAATGGAGCTTTGATTTGCGAACGGAAAAAGAAAATTCCTGCCCTTTTTTTGACCTAAGTTCATCTAAGGTCAAAAGAAGAAAAAAGAAAAAAGTCTCCCCCTAGTGGTAGAGGACGGATTAACTGGCTTTGCATTAGTTCCTATGGTTGCTTTGGTCTTTGGGGGAGAAATGGTGAATTGATAAAAACAAGGAGTCAGCTGCTGGGATTTTCCATTGCGTTGTGTCACTTTGTGAATGGTAGCAGTGCTGGGGAACTCCTGTTCAACACCTTGTCCTGTGGAGTGTCTCAGGGTTCCATGATTCTCCATACAATTTCATATATACGGTACATGAAAAACCTGAAAGAGGCTGTCCAGAATTTTGTGGTCTGCTACTACCAGTGTACTGTACCGATGACATTCAACTCCATCTGCTTTGTAAGATCTTTCAGGGAGCCCTTTTCTCAGTCTCTCAGGCCCCACTATGCGATTACTCGGACTGCCACCAATCTCTGCCAATTTCACCCTTGAATCTACCTTATTCCTTTAGGCAGTTTAAATTCTACTTTGAAAAATAACCTTACAATACTTACGTGCTTTGTGTTTTATCAATGTAAACATTCAATGTTACAAACAACAGTATTCTTGAATGAACATCAAATCAAGGAGTTGAATTTTTTCCTTGGCCTTTAACAATGAGTTCTCAGTTTAGAAGACTGAACAGTCACCACTCCTTCTCCTAATACAGAAGGTTGGGAAAATGTTTTTCCACCTACAAGGCTATGTTATCCACCTTCCAGGTATGTGAGAAAGAGTCCTGTGTTGTAAATATCAATGTACCCACAAGACAGCAAAAGGTCACTTTTAAGGAACCCACTAACAGTTGTCAGATCACTAAACAGAATCTCAAAAATTCTTGACACTCAGCACTTCTAAAAATGTTTCAAGTCACATGAACATAGATGGATAAACAAAGATGAATAGTATCTGCTTATGAGTATGCTCAGATTTCTGATTGAATGTGTTTTATAACAGGCATAACAGGGACTGGAAAAACTGGGTTTCCACACTTGGATATTTGGGGGGCTGCACCATAGCTTCTCACCACTTCTTCCCCAAACACAAATTAATTGTTCGGGCTGTTAGTGATCCAACGTGGGTATCCTGCAGACCATTTTGACTTCTGCCATTGGTGTTGTCAACATTTAGGCTGCCCTTTTCTATGCAAAGTTTGGCCTCCTTTTTCCTGCTGGCAACGCAGGCATGATATTGTGCATAAATATTGGGCCATTTTCTGGATTTTTGAATCATGGGTACAGAAGCACAATATGCCACATTCATAAACCAGAGGTATTTTTAAGAATTGAGTTTCCTGGCTTTTTAAAATGGGACTTTAAATAGACACATATTAACCTCAGATCCAATCAGAAATTTCCTTCATATAGAATTATGCATTGATAGAGGATTCCAGTTTGTTGATTTAATTATTTCTTCAAAATATTTTTAACCTGCCTATTTCCTTTAAAAAGACCCAAGACTTCTTGGGTCTATTCTGCCTAATACACCACACTGTGTATCCAAGGGAAAAATATTTCTGAGTAAAAGCTTAAAAGTTAATTATGGTGGAGGAGGTATTCTGGGAACTTTAGGTCAAAGAAATTACGTTTCTGTACAGGGAGAGGCTGTCATTGAAGCGACCAACATGAATCTGACCCAACTCCGGGAGGCAGTGGAAGACAGGAGGGCCTGGCGTGCTCTGGTCCATGGGGGCACGAAGAGTCGGACACGACCGAACGACTAAACAACAGGGAAAGGGATAAAACAGTGTCGTTGTTTTTAAATGAAGGCTCCTAAACCCTTTGCCCAAACATCCCCAAATTTACCACAGAGCAACATCCGTGCCAAATTTGGTGCTGTTCTGAAGTTCAGTTTCATAGTTACCAGTTTTGTGTGTGGAGCCCTTCTGTGTGTTGATTTGCCTAATGGAATGTTGAATTCTGCTAATGCACAATATTAAAAAGTATAAGCAAAGGGTAAAAATATAAAAAAATAGTAATGGTTACATGGTCCAAGACAAGGCATGAATTACAGGTTAAGAAATGCTGTTATTTTACCTAACTAGAATTCTGTCAGTTACGAAGTTTCTTCTGAATGGTTCTACCCTGACTCTGAGAGTCCGATATGGCAAATGGTGCCTTTCGCTGGGGTCCTAGTTCTGATAACATTGTTTTGTAACTTTTTATAGCTGATCTGGCTCTGGTGCCCTCTCAGTAGGGTGCAACAGGGTTCATTCCTTCATAGGGAGGATGATGACAAGAGAGAGAGAGAGCCCAGTCATTCATTCTGCCCACTTTTGTTCCACCCGGCCCATGTTCTTTGCCTTACCGAGCTGTTCCATCCCCCACCTGTTTGGTATCCCTCACCGAGGTCCTGGGCATGCAGTCCTTTTACCAGGTCTTCTGAGCAGATGCTATATCAGAGGAATAGGTAGACTCCTGCTTCTGCATTAAGAAGGGTTTAGTTATGGACAGAGAGTGTCTCTTGTTTTGTGCAAAGCATACTTTCTTCCTGGATTCTTATCACGAGAATTCTCTCCTGCGAGCTGCATTATGTGCAAAAGGGAATCATATTATATTCTGAGTTACATTTTATCTGTGTAGGATTTTGTGAGAGGCGATGTGCAATGATTGTGTTACGGGGTCTCCTGTATTTCCAGGTCAGCCTTTCTGGAGTGAGCATAGCTGAAGGGGAAGGAAAGGAACATGGCTTTGAGACAGCCTTTTTCCACCTCCTATTAAGGTTCAGAGGAAGGTTTACAGAAACTCTTCTTAAAGTGCTGGTGTTGATTGGGGGGGAGGAGGGTAAATGCTTTATGCCGTAGCCCACATCACTGCTATTGCAACCTACTTTGATCCTTCTGTTGTAGCCACCATAATTGCTCTGGAATTGTTGCCAGTCAATATATGTTACCACAGCAATTTTATTCTGTTTTTTGTTCGTTTCTTTTCTTTCTTTCTTTCTTTCTTCTTTTTTGCAGTACTACACTACTGTAATGGAGCAACAAATAAATGGACAGTTAATAGTGCCTCTGCAGATCTACCCAAGAGGTAAAGTTTAAACAATTTCTGGTTACTGGCAGTAATATTTATAAGCTGCTCTATCAGCAGTTTGTTGTTTTTTCCCCCAAAGATTTTAAGTGCATGCCGTGTCATATTATTGTAGTAGGTTTGGGTAGAGGAGTTTATTGTACTGGAGAACTTGCACATATTACAGATCAAAAAGAAGAAACAAATAACAAATTAGACTGAAATTGTATTGTACAAATTAGGTATATTGAATATTTTTTCATTTGACGGTAATGAACGCTTGTGAAGACATAAAGTAGATAATACATCGGCTTGGAACCACCAATGTCTATATATATGTAGAATATGTCTACATATTCCCTTTTTTCTCCTCTTTCGCTCCCAACCTGATTTTTCTACAGTGTTCGAGGCAGCTAACAAATTCATTAAGAACACCACAATATCAAATTTTATGAACAACAAGCAAGCCACCGCAGATTCTCCCTCCCTCCCGCTCCTTTAACCCCCACATCAGTTTTGATGTTGGATATTGTTACATTCTTATACTCAGCTGATGATTAGTTAATTGGGATTTAATCGAGAGGCCGTTGGTATGCCCTGACTAGGTGACCATGGCTGCTCTCCATTCTGCAAGAACCAATGCGTGAAATATAACGTCTTCCTGACTGGGCTTTGATCACATCTGCATGTGGAAGACAAGAGGCGTGCGATGAAAAGCTGGAGCTCTAAAAATCAAGTCTGGAGTCGCAAAGAAGGAGGAAAAAAACGATTACCTTCAATAACACCCTCTGATGTTCTTTCTATAGCCCTTGCTTCCAGGGCCAATTGAAGACACGTTGCTATTTCAGGAGGAAACGGGGAGTAAATGGAGAAGAAATTAACTTTTCCGAGTGTTGGTTCTGTACACACCATTTTGCTACCGCAGGAGAAAGAGAAAACTGCACCTCCGCCCAATCCTTCACACGCTTCAAGTCTGAAGTGTAAAGTATTCAGAGGATAAAATTATGTTGGCACCTGGGGCCAGAATTCCCACAGGCATGTCTTTCCCCCTCTGGCAGTAGAAAAGAGGATAATAATATATTAAATAACTGACAATTTCCTGTCGTTGAAACCCCAAATCAGCTGACTGGAGCAGTTGAGTCATTTTGCCTAATGGTAGGGTCAGCACCTCCTAAATCTGTGATATTTAGATTTTTCTGCAGTAAACTGCATATCTGAAGGAGCACCTCCTTGATTCTAGCACTCTCTCAAGCTTCTGAGGCTGCTGGTCATTTTTACACCCAAAACAGCTTATTATATATTTAAAACAATCAACCAGATAGGCAGGGTATAAATGAAATAAATAAATAAATAAATATTCTCACCCTCTTTTATTTTACTACACCTTTCGGTTCCCTCTTTCTTTAAAATGAAAAGAACTACTAGATTTTGCTTCACGTTTGTGTGTTTGGATCATTAGAAAGCTGGAAAGAAGGAGAGGATTTTAAAGCTAGGATGGCCTCGTATCCTGCTTTATAGACGATAGTCCTTAATCTGAAGGCAACTGCGAAAGTAATATTTGGAGAGAAAAGCAGTCCAAGTCAAGCTGAAGCTAAAGATTCATGGACAAAGGTGGACACTAAGTTGGATGTTCGCAGATGAAGGCAGCGATTGCCTTGACCAATCACAAAACAAAGCACGCTAAATGCAAGATACGCAGGTGAGGAAAACCACACATTACAGCAAAGAGATGTCTTTTTTTTAACTTGCCAAAGCCTTTCAACAAAAAGCAAGAGAAATGTCTCATTTCACCCGAGGAAGGGTTCAAAAGTCATCTATCAACACCACTGACACTCCATGATGATGCAGATCCCGAACGCTGAAACAACTTCTCACTGCATTCAATTGAACCTCGCATCTTGCTCTTCAGCCTGAGAGGATATTCAAAAGAGCACACAGGCCTTGGGACTAAATTAGCCCATTACCTGTGTCAGTGAATGCCTGCTTAGCTCTTCTGTTCTTCACACATTTGTCGAATCACAGCATACAAACTGGCATCCATTACAGTGTTGCACAAACATTTCACAACCTTCCTGCCTACTAAACCAGGGAGTTGTGGTACCACCTGGGAATGGCTGGAGAGGCACTTTAAAGTCACCTCACGTACAAAAATTAAACTGGTTTCCTTCCGTATTACTGCTTATTCTGACATTTGTCTTTCTAAGATCCGA